AAAAAAGGTTCATAATGAGTTGAAAATTTTTTCAAAATCATTCAAACGTTGAAAAAAATAGCAAGAAAAAATAATGTTGTTGCTTGTTTTTTTTTCTTGTTTCTATTTTAATAACTTTTAAATTAATAATGTTAGCATTTTGAAGGACATTAAACAACAGCGCACAAAAAGGCTTCGCTTTTTTTGTTGAATTTACTTAAACAGTTCATATCAAACAAACCGATTTGTCTTATTTTTTTCATATAAAATTTTCAATCTTTGATCTTTTCTACCATAAAAATTTGAACATGACAAATGGGGTATGAAAAGATGTTGTCGGCCATCTATGATGCTGATAATTTTTAAGTGGAAACGGATTAAAATTCTGAATGCAGAAATTAGATGGTGCCAAATAAGATTACAACAAATTTTCAGTTTTATAGTGCTATTCAACTTTTTGTATGTCTGTTAACCATTACTGCAAAGCCGTCTGTTTTTGGCCTTAACTTACTGAATTTTAGTTCACAATTTTGATTAAACAAAAGTTCTGCAAAAAAAAAAAAAGACAGTCGTTCTCGTATGAATTATTCACAACAAATTCTTCGACACTTACGCTGAAGTGCTCTTAGAGAGTTATGGTAAATTGTAATGCAGTTCTCAAATTGTCAATTTTTCTCTGAATTTCCCAACTTGCCGACTTGCCATAGCAATAAGTTTGTAAGAGAAATGTATTTTTGCTGAATACTCTCTTTTAATAAAATTTGGTACCATTTAATACTTTTGACTAAATTTTGACATTATATTAAAATTCCATACCGCTTTTCTTTATTTGTACCTCATCACAGACACCTAAAAATAATTATTTTTAGTTTTACAATAAAAGCAAATAAGCAGGTGTATTTATTGATACATAAATATTGTTACATTATTATATATATATATTTATATTTATATCAATATATACCAACATACATATATAGTCAAGTAGTTATTTTTTTTTACATAAATATCTATTTGTTTATATTATTTTTAGTTATCCTTACATCAATGCATGTAAATAGTTGTTCGTTTGCTGATTTATATGCGCTCTTTCAAGTCGTATCTGTATTCCACCTCTACTAAAGAGGATTTTATCAAAAAATTTCAAGGTTGTTTAATGTCTAAAGGTATTCAAGTATAACCTGCGGCGATTACGAAGGATAACAAGCTTCAGAACGCCATTAACAATCTGCTTTTAAAACCTTGTAAAGATTTGATAAATAAAGTTTTCTACACAGGTTTTATTGTCACAGCAACAAAAAGCATTCAGTTTGCATTGATAGTTGTTGTAATTACATCTGTTGTGATATCGTTAAAAATCCTGACAAAAATAGGAGTTATGAAACAGCACCAGAACCATAAAACATTCGTGATTGACATACTATAAAGTCTCTCATCCGATTGATCAGAAATCTGGCACACCAAAAAGTTCGTCTGAATACTTTTATTTATTTCTTTATTTTCTCAACATATGAACAGCAGATGTTTCTACAAAATGATTGAATTTGGAAGAAAATAAAAACAGAACACGAGACAAAGTGTTCGTTCAGAACAAGTTTTTTGCCTCTCGTAGAAAGGTTAAAATTGAGGATTTTAACAAAATCAAAACAAAAAGTGCATTAGATAACAGCAACTTTCTAGAACAAATGTTTTATCAACAATGACATCTGAATGTTCAAACACAAAGCCACAGTTAAGCGACTGAGAACCTTTCGAGTATAACAATTAAGCTAAAAGATTATAAACCGACTTCTAACGTCCTTTCTTCTCAGCTCTGACAATATACTATTAAATGAGCAAATGAAAAAAATTCGACTTCTAACTTTTTCTTTTCAATTGTAATTTGAAATTTTTTGACCAACTAATTTTTTCTTCTCTTTTAATAAAGCCAAATGTCATTGAGAAAAAAATATTTCTGAAAAATACTCAATTCATTGAAACGTTTTTTCTCATTAAAGTTCAGCTAATTTCAATTCTGTGCAAAACAAGTGAGTGCAACACTTCTTCGTTCGCCAATATATCGGTTTGATGCATGCTATCAATAGACATAAAACAAAAATTTTACTAAGAAGATTGTACACAACGCTCAAGAACGATTTAGAATTTTACAACTACAACTGTATGCCTTTATTTAAATAAACTAAAAATTTGTTGACACAAATAGTTGAAAACAGAGTGGCGGAACTGCACGAAGAAGTAAAAAAAAAGATGAGCAAAAAACTTCATATAAGTACTTGATGAAGCATAAAATTTTCACCTAATCTTATTAAGAACAGAAAGACCATATCCTGACCACACTAATCGTATCTTACCGCCTCGTTTACCAGAAATTATCAAACTGTTTTTTTTTCAAGCATTTTATCGCAATTATTAGTGTTAATTAAAATCCCTTATTTCATCAAACATCAAGATTGAATACCAGAAGAAAACTTTAAACATATTTTTCTTTCTATCTAACTATTTACTGCCGTCTATCCTAAATGTATATTACAGGTATTTTAGTTAATTTTAATTTTTTTAATTAACAAGGCAAATAAACATAAAATATAAAAACTTTTACGTATAATACAAAGATCTCCGTACGTGACATAAAAAGCAGTAACATTTTTTTCTCAAAAAATATAAAAGACTTTAAAAAACGAAATATTAGCTGGTCAAATAAGACAGAGAAAAAAGCTTAAAAAAAAAAATTCAGATGTCCAAAAGCATTCAATTAAGAACAACCATCTGAATAAAATCAAAAAAATATTCATTTTACCGGAAACAATTAGAAATAAAAAAAGAAAGCTAAACCATAAATTAATAAAAGAGAAATAAAACTTTGCTCATAAGAGTCAAAAATACAGCTCAAAATACTGATTTGATATTCCTACAGTATCCGTCCTTGAAACTGAAATAATCTGCTTATGCATCTCTTTAGAACTACGATTTGATCTATTTCGTTTGTCATTTTCTGCAATTTGTCCAGCATCTGTTGACTGTGTACAGTGATTTCAGGAAATATAAAGTAAGAAATTAAAAATCTGTAAATGTTAATAGCACTTGACAATTATCAATGACTCGTTACTTCAGATCAATTAGAGAAACATCATTTTTATTTCTTCACTAACAACTTCGAAATCGCTGACTAAGACTTCAAAAAATTGTTTTATTCTTATAAGAAGAAACAGTTACGCAGTT